CGCCCTCGCGCGGCGGGAGCGGGCGGATCGCGCGCGCGACTTCGCGGGCGGCCCCGCCCCGCGGCTGCCGAGCGCGTTTCTGCGCCTCGACCTCCGCGCGCAGACGGAGCGCGTCGGGCTGGTGTTGGAGGTCCGTCTTTTGCCCGCCCCGCGCGAGGGCGGGGGGGCCGGAAGGGCATCCGCCCCGGCCTCCCCACGCGTGGAGGCGATGTTGGCGTCTTTTGGCTTGGAGGTGGTGGTCCTGGGCACCATCACTCCTTTAGTTTGAGCGGTGAGGGTTTAGTATTATGATTATGGCGTGGGTGTGGGTGTATTTTTTTTGGGAATGCCTTGCCACCTTTTTTTTTACCATAAGTGGGATATTTATGGAAGTGGAGGGTGCGAGGCAGCCGTGCGTGGACGGATCCTACGGGTGCTAAAAGTTAACTAAACTGGCGGAATGCCGAAGCGAACGAGGTCATGGAGGGAGAGGAAAATGTCTGCCATAAGGGCTTTCGGGCTGTATGGCTTACACTTTTGTCTTCATGGGTTCTTACGCCTTCACAGCGGTCGTTGGGGGAAAAAACGGGTAAATAACTAAACACTATAAAACGCGTAACGTGCTCTTTAACGGTTTGGTTGAATAGCATTTCTTTCTTATTATTATTTGCTTTGATTTTCTTCTTGGGTTTTTTTGACTCTCTGAAAATATCCCTCAATCCCATTCTTTCTTATCTCCAACGTATTTTGCCAAAGTGAACGGAAACCTTACACCTGGGAAGAGAAGGGTACTGCCTGGAGGAAGTCTAGGGAATCATCTCCAATTCTTATCCCCTGGCGCACTTTCGCATTGGGCGCCATTTATTGATTGACATTTGACCTCCTCACGAACGCCTTGGACCACGTGCGCAACCCCAAGAGCGGCAGCTCTCGTTTTCATCGGAGTCGATTCCTAAATCGCGATTTGACGAATGGCCGCCCCCTGCACGCGCCCTTCCCAGGCGATCGATTTCGACCGTCTGTCACCCGCGGAGCTTGCGGAACTGGCCAAAAAGCAGCTGATCGCGATCAGCGAAAAGGACGCCCAAATCGCCTCCTTCGAGGAGTTTTTGACGAGCCTCATGGGGGCCTTTCCCGCCTCGATGATGCCGAGCTTCGCGGCGGCGACCAAATCCCCCTCCCCCGCCCCCCCCCAACGTCTGTCTTTGCCATCCCCCGCGGGTGGGACTTCCCCGCGCGGGGAGTCCGGGGGAGACCCGAATACGGCGAATCCCAATCCTATTCCCAGCCATAGTTCCCAGAATAGTTTTCATACTTCGCATATGACCACGAATACCCATGCGGGCAATCGAATTCCGCCACCCGGGCGAGGGGAAGGGCCGTCGGCGTACCGCGCGCTCGGGCTGGAGATCCAGGCCGCGATGGAGAACGAGCGCATTCAGTTCATCACGCGGATCTCCGAGCTGGAAAGCGGCCTCGCCCTCGCGGAGGGCCACCTGCGGGCGAAAACCCTCGCCCTCACGACCCTGGAGGGCAAAGTGGAGGGTTGGAAGGCCAAAGTCGTCGCCTCCAAGGCGCGGGACCTCCGGCGGATTGAGGATTTGCGCGCCAAGCTCGCCCAGCGCGAGCAGGAGCCGCTAAAGCCGGGCGAGCGGCCATCCCCCGAGGAGGATGTGCGGGTCGAGGAGGATTATAGCCGCTCCGATCGCTCCCACGCGGATGGGGAAGTGGAGGAAACTGCCCCTGTGGGGGGGAACGCGATCACCCCCAGCGCGACGAATCCCGCGGTGCTTTCCATCGCGCGGGAGGACGACGGGGCGGGGTTTTTTTCCCGTCCCGGCGGGCTCGAGGAGGGGTCGGCGGCCGCAGGGGGCGACGCCGCGCGCGATTGCCGCGATGAACTCACGCGCCGGATGGAAGGTTTAGCCCCTTTCGTGGCGGAACTTCAGGAGCGCTGCGCCGCGCTGACCGGGCGGAATCAAACTCTCGAGCGGAAGGTATGGCGGCTTCGGCGATTTGCGCTCGCGGTGCTTGCGGAGATGGCGCGTCGGGTTTCGCACAGCCCTGCCCTTGTAGACGCGATTAACGAACAGCGAAAGGAACTTCAGATATAAAGCAAAAAAAGCGCTCCAGCGGGGATGGATTAATGGGGTTTGCTTCGTGTTAGCGTAAGGTGCAGGGCCATACAATACGTAAACATCATAGGAAAAAATCAAGTTGGATGTTATTATTCTTATTATTATTAGTTTGGCTTGATTTTGACAGATATATTGCTTGTGAAGGCCTTTCCCTTCTCTTGACGTGCTTGGCATCGGATTCATGCGGGGTGTGACCCAGTGAGCGGATGGGCGAGTTCCGGCTTTATCGACTTGACTCATTTCACCGATCATTTTCTCTCTCTCTCTTCTTCTTTTTTTTCCACCATACCAAAGAGGTTGCCCGACGTTTAAATTTTTCAATATAATTACCTAACACCGCGAAGCATAAAACCACCTAACCCTCCCTCCCTTTCCTCCCCTCCCCTCCCTCCCTCCCAAAAAAAAAAAAGACCGACTAATCAAACTTGATTCCCCTTATAGGCCCCAAAGCCCCCCTTTTTTTTTGCGCGATGTTCAGTGGGTTTCCGACGATCACCCTGGCCTCCCCTCCCGCCGCGATCGACCTCGAGTACGAGGCGAAGGACGCGAATGGCTGCGTGAACGCGGTGGGCTTCCCCCCGGTGGAGGGGATTCGGCTCTGCTATCCCGCGCTTTGCCATCTTTTGCACCTGTCGAAGTCGGCGTCGAAAAACCGCGCGGTGTTTGGGCGGCTGTGCGGCCTCCAGCTCGGGAGCGAGGTCACCCTGACGGACGTCCGCGCGAACCCGCCGAAAAAGCCCTCCCCGCAGGACTACGAAACCCCCGAGGAGCGCCACCGCCGCCAAGAGCAGGAGCGCAAAGACGCCGAGGGGGTGTTTAACGCCCTGAATAAAATGTTCGAGGAGGAGATGCTCGACGCCTACCAGGTCGGGTGCTTTGTGATTAGCAACGCCACCTACAACCCCTATTCCCCGATCTTGTTAAACCAGCTCGTGCAGCTCCACAAGTCGAGCCAGCCCGCGGTGATGTTGAGCTACGACCCCTTCCGGACGGCGCTGTTTGGCCGGCCCTATTTGCGCGGCTTCGCCCTCACGGAGGCGTACTTCCAATACGAGCAAATGATGGAGGTGAAAGGCGTCCTCAAGGCCCGCGTCGTGCGCGAGACGCGGCTGACCACCCACGGCGTCGTGCGGGAGATCCCGGTCCAGATCGAGGTCGACCCTTATCACGTGCTCGGCATGGCGGAGCTGCGGGTCGAGGCCGCGCCGAATTCCTTCTTGGCCATCCAAAGCCCCGTCATCGAGGACTACGTCGAGGCTTTGGTGAACTCGATGAGCTCGAACGCGAGCGCCCTGGCCACCGGGCTCGATCGCGAGCAACGATTGCAGGGAAAGGAGCCCGGCGGCGGGGGGCATGGGGCCCTCGCGCAAAGCCCCGAAACCCTTCTCGCGCTTCAGCACCTTCGCGAGCAGGCCGAGCACATCGAGGGGATTTGTAATAGCATTTTAATGAACGCCTCGCTTTTGCGCGATTTGTAATCGAACAAACGGACGACAAATGAGGGAAAAATAAAAAGAAGAAGTGAAGAAAAAGCTTCACAAGAGAAGGGAAGAACCAAGAGAGAGGGAGAGGGAGAAAGCGGTTTATGCAAAGTAATCCCCCCCTTCCCCTTTCTCCCTCTACTGACATTGAAGGAATCCATCAATAAAAGTAAGTGCGGTGGGAATACTTGTCAATGAATCTGTCCGAGGCCTTTCTTTTTATATCTTTTTGTGCGGTCTTATTTTTTGTCCTTTTTCTTTGTCAGAGGGGTGGGGGAATCTTGATCGAGGCTTACCCTTCGCACTCCCCATTCACAAAGGCGAGCAGAGAGACCTTAAAAGGGGTCAGCTCACGAAGAGTAGCGGAGATGGTATTTTATCTATAGGTTGGCTAATACTATAATTGAAGTCTAATTAAAGTTATTATTGTTATTAATTGTGTACTTATATATACATATATACATATATATATATGTATATATGTATATATGTATATGTATGAAAATGAAGCCAAGCGGAATAGGAACTGTATTTCTAATGGAGATGTCCATTCGAGAAATCTAGCAGAAAGGTGGAAGGATAAGCTCGTATCTACCGATAAAACGAATCTCCTTCAGGTTCGGTGATAATAAGAGGAAGGAGTGCGGGACAATACTAGTGTTTTCTACTACTGTAAGATAATCTGCATGTTTTTTTAAAATTTTATTGATTCTCTTTCATTTTTAATATGGATAAGCGTATTCTGAAGAACTTCAATGGCTTTCTAAAGCACGAATGGATTCCCCCCTTCCCATTTGACATTATCATGGATTGGATTTTATGTTTTAAAATTGTATTGTTCTATTTATTAGTCTTTATTGTTTCTGGGTACTTTATAATCTACTATAGTTTTGAGTTATAGACGTATAGAATTAAGAACACAACCACTTTGTGCTTGTGGTTTTAGTTTTTTTCCCCATTTCATTATACAAATCTAAAAAACATAAAGAGAGAACGCGCTAGAAATTATATAAATGTTCTGAGCCCGGTTGACGCCCCCATAAATCCCCAGAAACCGATTCAACCAACACGACCCTTCACTCTGTGTGTGTTTGTGGCTCTCCCAACATTCCGCTTTGACGACCCCTCACCAACCCGGAAAAGCGCCGCATTGTGAAGAGAGGACATCAGTGCATCCACATCCAAAAAAAGTATCATCATACTAGTTACAGTTCTATAGTTACAGTTCTACAGTTACAGTTCTATAGTTATATATATATCTATAGTTACAGTTCTGTAGTTATATATATAGTTCTATATATATAGTACCCTAGTTCTGTCACCGAGGATTTATCCCGAGTATTCCTTTCCATGGACGCCGAGCAGCTGGTGAATGGACGGGCACGTCCGCGGCGGTACGGGACGTGGGATGTGGCGGACCCCACCGCCGTCCCGCTGGCCTGTGGAGGGCCGCCATCGCCTGGCTTCGAGGCGGAGGAGGCCCTCGACGAGGCCGTCGGGGTCGCCCTGGAGGGGGTGTTCGCGGGGGTGCCAGGGGGC